CATGTCTCCTTAGATTCCTCTTGACTATGACAGTTTCTCAGCATTTCCTTGTTTTTGACAAGGTGTTTTTGAGGAGTACTCGCTCGTCAGGTATTTGTAGAATCTCCCTCGCTTGGGATTTGTCTGATGTTTTTCTCATGATCAGAGTGTGGTTATGTGTTTTTGGGAGGAAGACCACACAGGTGAAGTGCCATTTTCATCACATCACATGATGTACTATCAATCAACATGACTTATCACTGTTAATGTTAGCCTTGATCACCTAGCTGAGGTAGTTGTCAGGCTTCTCCGCTGTAGATTTACCCGTTCTCACCCTTTCCATGCTGCATCCTTTGGAAGGAAGTCACTACACACAGCCCACACTTAAGGAGTGCTTCATCTCCTTGAGGATGTAAATTGTTTGGAATTCTTCAGTGTGGGAGATTTATATTCTCTCCCTCTATTTACTTATCGTAGATTCAAAACTACTTTTACTCAATTCTGATTCCATGTTTTCCTGTTCACACACAAAGAGTGAAGTCATCATAGCCAATGTGTTGGCTCCAATATTTTGCACCTAGTTAAATGATGCTATCAGCTGTTTCAAATAAAAAATCATTAAATCCAAAAGTTGTTTAATTTTTTTTTCATTCAATTGATGGACTCAAATTAAAACTTTTGGAAGTTCATTTTGTTGAAGGGAAAACATTTGTCACTACTGTGAATGCTAGTATAATTTCATTTAAAGTTCAAAGTTGAAGACAAAATATTTGTTTTGTGGTGGTAACACATATATGAATTTTGATTAAAAACCAATGTCCTGGTAGAAACAATGTCCTTATTAAATCAAGAAATCCGTGGAACGGAAATGGATTTGCAATTGGTTAACATACACATAACTCATAATTGTGTTCAAACACACTGTAATAGTTTACCAGTTAAGATAGAAGTAGTGGCCTTTTAGCCTTTGAGTCGTGGCCTGCTCCTAACTGTTTGGAATGTACTTTCTCTTCTATTAATGGTCCTTGAGCCACTGCCTTCTGCTTGGGCCTGCTTCTACCTTTTTGAAGCATACTTTTTCTTCTAATAAACTGTTCTTTTGCCACTTAAAAAAAAAAAAAGATGAAGTAGCAATTGTCAAAACATACAGGTTTTTATGTAAATGACCATAAAATTTTTGAGATGAAGCTAATGGTGAAAGAAACATTACTGTGGCAGTACTGTGTTTACTGTCCATCAGCAATTAGATTTTATAAATGTTCAAGCCCTTAAAGAACTCTTTTGTAAAACAACCCAAGTGTCCTGCACTGAAATTTTTTAATAAATGAGCCCTCTAAATGTGGACTACAATTTGTGTAAAATCAATGGAAAGTCATTATTCAAAGTATCAATGAGTAGGATGCTTAAAGAAAAAAACAAAATATGACAGCTTTTGAAGGTTTAGCAAATTGCAATTATTATAACAAAGTGTGTAAACAAAATCCTTGACATTTATTCCTACAAAAAAGAAGGAGAAATTGAACACATCAAGCGAGGAAAGTTCAATCGGGTACCATGTTTAGTTCTGACATTTTGTGATTGTCTTTACTTGTGGAAAGAGTCACCTTTTGATGAAACTCTTGCTTTTAATTGGATAAATTTTATATTATGACCTAAAATGGAATGAATTTAAGAAAGCTTACAATTTTGTAGCGTGTATATATTTGGTTAAACATTTTAAATAATACAAAAAATAGAGACAACTTATTTGATGAGTTTTTTCTTAAGTTTTATTATTGAAGAAGTGTNGTGTGTGTGTGTTCAGATAAGAAGCTGAGGCCTACAGAGGTTAAAAAATGTGGTTAAGGTCAACAACTAATAAGTAGTTGAGATGGGATTCAACCCTAGGCCTGACTCTAGCCCCTGGATGCTAAACATTGTTGTGCACTGCCTCCTCCTCGAGGGTATTTAGGAGGGCATTGCTGTGTTGCTTGAGAGGTTGCAATAGAAGGCCTTCAAAGGCTTTCCAACTCTTAAGAGACTAGGACTTTAAACTAGGTGATGCCATGTAAGGCCTATTTGGTCCTCATATCTACCATCCCTCAACAAAGGCCTTTCAATCACCACCTATTAGTTTGGGCCCCTACCCATGGCTGAGTATATGTCTTGAAACCTAGAGCTGTGAGCTTCAAATGTTAGCATGCATAAATCACTTTGTGTGTATGAGGGGGTGCATTTTTAAAAAGTTCAGGTTTCTATGGGATGTCCAGAATTCTGTTTCATTTGGGGTCTTTCATCATAACCATGTGAAGAAAAAGAATTCTGTTGTATCTAAGACATTTTGATTTAATATTTCATTTTCTTTATAACAGGTTAGTGGATACCTGGATGATTGTACCTGTGATGTTGAAACCATCGATAAATTTAATAACTACAGGCTTTTCCCAAGACTACAAACACTTCTTGAGAGTGATTACTTTAGATATTACAAGGTATTTTTATTTTTAGTTTTTTGTATAAGTATATTTAAAGCTTAAATGGATAATTACATTTTCTTAGTCATTACTAAGCTTCAAAATTGTGGCTTAACATTAAAATTGATTAAAATTAAAATTACTTAAAATTGATGGAGGCGATGTTAGGAAAATTCAGTTCACAAGAGTGAACCATGTGGTTCTACAACTACCCGCTGTATACTTTTTAATTTCAGTAACTGAGTTTTGCACTCAAGAGTTAGAAACTAGTTGGTTAAACTGAAGTCAGAACAGAAACTATTATGTATTGTTATCAAAGTTGTGAGTTCATAATTTTCTAAAACATCAGATTTATTTCAATTAATTAAAAATTATTTTTGAGAAGCATGACTTTATTCGGACCTGTATTATTTTACCTAGTCACTTGTCATATTTTACCTTGAGATAACTACTGAAAGAGTCCAGAAAACCTCATCATTGGACTATGGAACTATAGTCTGAGTTCACAATTGTCTAACTGTTCTACATTGTCAACTGTTACTTGCTTAAAACGAATTTGAGTTGCGCAGTAATGATCTGAGCCACTTTGGCTCCTAGTTGCCATCAGTTTAGGGTTTGTTTAGTAGCAGTCTCTGTCCTTCTAAGCAAGTCTACCAATTTACTGACATCAGCTACACCAGCGGTTCTCAACCTTCCTAATGCCATGACCCCTTAATACAGTTTCTCATGTTGTGACCCTCAACCATAAAATTATTTTCATTGCTACTTTATAACTGTAATTTTGCTACTGTTATGAATCGTAATGTAAATATCTTTTTGTTTTCTGATGGTCTTAGGCGACCCCTGTGAAAGGGTCG